TTTATATTTTGTCCTACCTCCCTTCGAAGACAATGGGCTGCTTTTCTGGGCGCCTGATGTCCTCTGCTAGCGATCAGAAGTTGTTTTGTGAAATTTGCTCAGCGTTCAAATGTTCTTTCGATGAATTTGTAGGAGAGAAAGTGGTCTCTCCGTCCTATTCCTCCGCCATCTTCTTCCCTATATTTTTAGAGCAGGATTAGCTAACCCCAGGCCCATGCGCCAAATCTAATCTGCCACCTGTTTTTGTAAGTGAAGTTTTATTGTAATGTGACCATTCTCATTTGTTTACATACTCACTATGGGTACTTTCATGTTACATTGGCAACATTGAGTAGTTGTAACAAATAGGTCCACAATGTATAAAATACTTGCTCCTGGCTCTCTGTAGGAGAAGTTTGCCAGTAACTGGTCTAGAGAGTCTAGACTTTCAGAAGGCTAAGCATGGATCATAGATATCTTAAACTTATTTTAGACTTCTTAACTTTTATTCTCACCATTATATGGATTCAAGGCCTGTGGTTTTAAGGAAAGATCACTACTGATATCAGCTGGTTCAAGAAAAAATGTGCAACTTCAAAAATATTATTAAAGGATGACACTGCTATGTTTAAAAACTAAGTTGCCATTGGAAGATTAATATCTGATTGTATACGTACCTGGGGGTTTCCCAGGTGGCTCAGTGGTAAAGAATCCACCTGCTGGTGCAGGAGACGCAGAAGACACAGGTTTTCTCCCTCGGCTGGGAAGATCTCTGGTGAAGGTAGTGGATCAAGTATTCTTGCCTGGGAAATTCCATGGACAGAAGAGTGTGGCAGGCTACAGTCCATGGGGTTGCAAAGAGTTAGAGGACTGTGCAGCTGAGCATGCACACTCGCATACATGTACCTGATCCACCAGACTTTTTCAGGTGCTCCCATCTTATATGAGAAAAGTGTTGCAGTTCTTCCCCCACATAGGCATTTATATTCTTTCATTTTTGAAGATGAAGTATTTGTTAGACATTGTCACTTATTTAAATAAATATGATATAAATATAAAATGCTAATCTCACTGTTGGAAATTTTAAGTGTTTCAGACCAGTTATGTCTTACCTTCCCTTCTCTCTCTCAGCTTGAAGTCCATGGCCCAAAATGACTCTGCCACTGGAGACTTTCTTCCATAAAGAGGAAGATCAGACAGGAGGCTGGGATGAACATGCCACTGCATCAGATCTCTGCCATTCCATCCCAGGATGCCACTTCTGCTAGAGTCTACAGAAGTAAAACCAAAGAAAAGGAGAGGGAAGAACAGGTATGGGGGGATATACCATTTTTAGCTTCATTATTTTTGTTCTTTGTATTAAAACAGTCTAGAATAAGCTCTGATGATCCAGTTTTTTTCTGGTAATAATTTATAAAAGCATATGGTGTGAACAGTTTTACTCAGAAGAAGTTGTCTTTTTGTACGTTTCTAAGTTTTCAGATTTTGCAGTCATCTCTAGTGGTAAGAGTACATGGTTTCTGGATGTCATATGTTCAGTACTTTTTTTTCATCTTGCTGCAGATGTAAAAACATCTCCAGATATGTTTCCCATATTCTATTAATTGTCATTTAAGTTAATAGTTTTCATTTAAGGTTCAATTAAGTTAATAGCCTCTTCTTATAATTATTCTTAGCCCAAATGGATATTTAAATACCAGTCAGTAGAACATTTCCTCGGTCTGGAGTACTTGCCAATACCAAGTTGAGGCTGTTAATTCTTCATTCATTGTAGTGTTGAATTCATTGTAGTGTTGAAATGAATAGCAGATAGGAATTTCTTAGTATGTATTTATATGTGGAAGCTGTACATATTTGTGTGGAATAGAGAAAGGAAAGTGTCCAACATTGTAGAAATGGAATGTCTTTTGTATAAAACCCTATTGCAGATTTGTTGTAGGTGGGTATTCAGTAAATAGTTACTGAATGATATGATCTATTTGATGGAATTTTTAAGGTTTAAATAAGTAACATTTCCCTCATGTGCTTATTTATCATCCATATGTCTTTTTTTGTTGGACTGTCTATTCAAATCTTTTGTCCATTTAAAAAAACCCACCAGTTTTCTTACTGTTAATTTTGAGCATTTCTAATGTAATCTAGATACATGTCCTCTGTCAGATATGTGCTTAACAAGTGTTTACTCAAAAAAAAAAACAAGTGTTTACTCCAAATGTTCAGATTGTCTTTTCATGCTTCTGCTGGTTTCTTTCAAAGATGAGAGGTTTTTAATTTTGGTCAAGTCAAATTTAATTGATTTTTTTTCCCTTGTTTGCATTGTACTTTTGGCATTCTGTTTAAGAAATTTTGGCCTAACCCAGGGTTGCAAATAATATCTTCTGTGTTTTCTTCTAAAAGTCTTATAGTTTTGGCTTTATGGCTTTATACTTTTGGCTTTATAGTTTTGGATCTATTTTGAATTGATTATTTTAGACTGTATGAAATATATATCCAATATTATTTTTTTAATATGAATATTCAGTTGTGGCCAGTAACATCTGTTGAATGGATTGTCTTTTCTCTACCATATTACCTTAAATCTGTTGCTTATAATAGGGGTGTCCTTATTTTTGGAGTCTCCTGTTCCATTGAGGTATTTGCCTATCTTTAACATCAGTACCTTACTATCATGAACATTCTGACTTTATAAGTCTTAAAAATCAGATAGTGTTCTTCAGCAAACTTGTTTTGCCTATTTTAGGTTTCTTGCATGTTTATATGAATTTGAGAATCAGCTTGTCAGTTTTTACACAAAAAAGTCTACTGGGATTTTTGTTGAATCTGTAGTGAATTTGTAGTTCAGTTTGAGGGAGAATTGACATTTTGACAATATTGAGTCTCAACCCATGAACCAAGTGTATCTTCTTGTGAAAGTGAAAGTGAAAGTCACTCAGTCGTGTCTGACTCTGCGAACCCATGGACTCAACAGTCCATTCCAGGCCAGGATACTGGAGTGGGTAGCCTTTCCCTGCTCTAGGGGATCTTCCCAACCCAGAGATTGAACCCAGGTCTCCCACACTGTAGGCTGATTCTTTACCAGCTGAGCCACAAAGGAAGCCCAAATTATTTAATTGCTCTCAGCATTGTTTTGTAGATTTCAGTGTATGGTCTTTACACACCTTCTGTCAGATTTATCCCTAAGTACTTTGTAATTTTGATGCTATTATAAATGATACTGCTTTAAAAATTTTAACTTCCTCTTGTTCATTGCAAGCACAGAGAAATAAAATTGATTTTTTTGTGTCTTGATCTTATATCTTGCAATTTTGCCAAACTCACTTATTAGTTCTAGTAACTTTTTTGTAGAGTCCACTGAATTTTCTGCATAAGTAGTTATGTCATCTGTACATGAAGATAGTTTTATACTACCCTTTTTCTTTGGATACCTCTCTCCATCTTTCTTCTCCTAGTGAAAATCTCCAGTAATATACTAAATAGAAGTGGTGAGAATAGTCATCCTTGTGTTTCTTGTGACCTTAGAGGGAAGCATTCATTCTTTCAGCACTAGATATGATGATAGTTACGTTTTTTGTAGATGATCTTCAACATGTGGTTTCCTTCTATTTCTAGTTTCCTGAGAGTTTTTATACTGGTAATTTGTATCTTCCCTCTTTTTTTCCCCTTGATCTGGCCAGAGGTTTATCAATTTTATTGATCTTCTTAAAGAATTCTTTTGATGTCATAGATTTTTCTCTGTTGTCATTCTGTTTTCTGTTTCTTTCATTTCTGGTGTGGTATTTATGATTTCCTTTCCTCTGTTTCCTTTAGTTTGTTATTCCTTTTCTAGCTTTTTAAGGTGGAAGTCAGGATTATTCGAGATCTTCCTTATTTTCTATCATAGGATTTAGTGAGTATAAATTTCCCAAGTTCTGTTTTCATGGCATTCCACAAATTCTGCTATGTTGAATTTAATTTTCATTCAGTTCAAAATACTTTCTAATCTCCCTTTTCATTTTTTCTTAGATCCATGGGTTATTTTTAAGTGTGCTATTTAATTTCCAAATTTTCTGGACTTTCCAGAGATCTTGCTCTTAATTCATCTCTAATTTAAATCCATTTTGCTCTGAAAACATATTTTGAATAACTTAAATCCTTGTAAATTTATGAAGACTTGTTTCATAAGTACTTGTTTCAAGGTACAGAATGTGGTCTCTTTTGGTAAATATTATGTGTATACTTTAAAAGAATGTATTTCACTGTTGTTGGATATTTTATTTTGGATAATTCTAATTGTTGTGTTTTTAAGTTCATTGTGTGTTAGTCACTCAGTCATGTCCAACTCTGCAACCCCTGGACTGTAGCCCATAAGGCCCCTCTGTCCATGAAATTCTCTAGACAAGAATACTGGAGCGGGTTGCCATTCCCTTTCCAGGGGATCTTCCTGACCCAGGGATCGAAGCCGGGTCTCCTGCATTGCAGGCAGTTTCTTTACCCTCTGAACCACCAGGGTAATCTTTTCTCTTTCAATGCCTGATCTGCCGTTAACTCTACTTGGTGTATTTTTTTTTTTATCTCAAACGTGGTATAGGGTTTTAGACCATGCCTAGTTTTTTTCCTAGAAATAGTTTAAATAAAGAGATGAATATACATCTTTAAAATGTACCTGTCCCAAATTACTGCCTTTGATTGGGTGTCATCTAGCATGAGATCATTTGTATAGCTTCTTGAATCATCTTTCTGCTTTACCTGCAAGAATCCCATGAGTTTTAACTTCATACCTAGAAACCAGAATTTCTTTTGTCATCTGTTTATCTTTTCTTGGTCCCTGGAGTGGTTTTTTTCAAACTTGCTTCCAAGCATGTTTTTCCTGTCTGGCAGTCAAATCTCCTTGTGACAGGGTGGGAGCTATTCTAGTTTGCTCAAGTACACACAGGAAGTCATAGCATGGTTGCAGTTTGAGAAGTATATAATATAATATACTTATTTTCTTTGAAAATGAAGAAATAAGATTAGATATTTTTCTAGTAATGACATTATCAAACATGAAATACAAATTGATCTGTTTGAACCATTACATTTTCTTGTAATCTACATGCATAGATTTTGAAGCTTAAATGTAGATAAAATTATATACAACTATGAGGTCTGGCCATTTTAAATATTCTTAGTCAAAGCCAGCAGTATTGGTTCTAGCTGTTTTATGTATTAGCAACTTACCTTTCTCAGCCAGCTCTCACATAAGTCTTAAACTGGTAACGGTTTGCTCTTTACTTACTTGGGGTATAGAATTGGAAGGATGTGCAGAATAACTGTAGCTGACCTCTGTGTTGTTGGTCTGTTGAGAATTTGCTAGATAAGAGTCTATGTCATGTGGGTCAAACCAGGAGTATAGTTTGGGCATATGGGAGTGAAGCACTAGCAGTTGGCTTCAGAGTGTTACGTATAAATTGAGTGAAAAAGGCACATGAATATATATGTGTGGTACCAATGCAGGACTCAGTGATTATGGTTTATTGGTTGTCACTTTTCTCTTATAGATGTCCTATTAATTAAATGATTGAAAGATCATTTTTCAGATTTTCTGTCAGTAAGCCATTGAAATAAGAAAACCACCCAAATTTGTTTTTATTTATTTATTTTTCCATTTATTTTTATTAGTTGGAGGCTAATTACTTTATAATATTGTAATGGTTTTTGCCATATATTGACATGAATCAGCCATGGATTTACATGTGTTCCCCTTCCTGAACCCCCCTCCCACCTCCCTCCCCATCCCATCCCTCTGGGTCATCCCAGTGTACCAGCCCTGAGCACTTGTCTCATGAATCCAACCTGGACTGGCGATCTGTTTCACACTTGATTATATATATGTTTCAATGCTATTCTCTCAGATCATCCCACCCTCGCCTTCTCCCATAGGGTCCAAAAGTCTGTTCTATACATCTGTGTCTTTTTTTCTGTCTTGTATATAGGGTTATCGTTATCATCTTTATAAATTCCATATATATGCATTAGTATGCTGCATATACTAATTGGTGTTTATCTTTCTGGCTTTCTTCACTCTGTATAATGGGCTCCAGTTTCATCTATCTCATTAGAACTGATTCAAATCTATTCTTTTTAATGGCTGAGTAATATTCCACTGTGTATATGTACCATAGCTTTCTTATCCATTCTTCTGCTGATCCAAATTTGTTTTTAAATGCAGAGGTTTCAAAAAATAATATAGCTGTAGCATTCTATAATAGTTGTTAATGACTTTTATATTTGATGTCATCAAGATAACTCCTGTATTTTACACAAATGGAGAAACAGGTCTAAAGAGAAATGTC